ATATTGAAAATAATGATGATAAGGATGATGGTGATACTAATAATAATATAACAGTAACAGCAAGAACAATAACAATGATAATTGATATTATAATAATGGTAATGATAATGACAACAGTAAGGATAAGTATAATCATAATAATAATGTTAATAATGATGATGATCAAGATCATGATAATAATACCAACGATAAGAACAAGAATAACTTTCGTAAATGATGACGATGATACGGTGATGATGATCAAGATCATAATAATACCAACTTTAGTAAATGATGACGATGATAGCACTAGACAATACCAGTAGAACTACATGGGAATGATAATGATTTAATGATGATGTGATGATAATCATGATGATGGTAATGATAATAACAATGATGATGATGATGATAATAATAATATTTATAATAATGAAAATAATAATACTAATGATAATGATAATAATGAGCATACCACTACTAAGAATAGTAATGATAATGAGAATAATAAGATAATAATGATAAAGGTAATAACAATAGTAATAGTAATAATGATGATGGTGATGATAAAAGATGATAATGATAATAATAATAGCAATAATGATCATAAGAATAATAATGATAATAATGATAATAATAATGATAACAATCATAAAAATAAAAATGACTGATAATCATAACAACAACAATAACCATGAATATAATAATCATAACAACAATAATAATTATAATCATGATTATTATAGTAATAACGATAAAGATAACGGTATGGATTGTAATGAAGATTAAGATGATGTTGTTGATGATGATGATAGTACTGCTAATAATAACAACCACAACAGTAACGATAAAAAACAACATTGGTAATAATGATATATTGTGAAAAAAAGATTAATAATAATGATAATGATGATGATGATGCTGATAACAATGATGCTAATACTACTGATGATAATAATAATAATAATAACAATGATGATGATATAAATTATAATAATAAAACATGTAAGTAATAACAATAATAATTATAATATCAATGATAATAATAATAACAATGAAATAATAATAATAATAATAATAATAATAATAATAAACAACAGTGATAATAATAATAATAGTAATAATGACATTAATTATGATAATGATAATAACAATAATAGTAGTAGTAATAATAATAATCATTATTATTATCATAACTATCATTATCATTATAATACCAAAAATGATGATAATTATGGTAACAAAAATGATAAGAATAAGAATAACAACAGTAATATTAATAACAATTATAATAATAACAATAATAATAACAAAAATATTGATAATACTACTACTACTAATGATAATAATAAAAATAATATTACTGCTAGTAGTAGTAATAATAATGATACTGATTATTATGATAATAATTATCAGTAACAACAATAAGATTAACAAAACAACAACAACAACAGTAATAATAAGATTGGTGATAATAACAAGAGCAAAACAACATTAGTGATGATAATAATGACAGTGCTAATAAAAAATATATCAACTATACCAATCATAATAACGCTACTGCTGTACTTAATAGTAATGGTGATAACAATTGCAATCGATTTATGATAAAAAATAACCGAGTAAAAAAAAAAAAAGTGAAACAATTAAGATCCATCAAGAAGCTAAAGAATATACATGAAAAAATAAACATCTGAGGTATTCAATCGCGTTCCGAATCGAACCCTGAATCCCTTTGTTGTGTCTCGAACGCTATCGAATCTCAATTGTTTATGTGGTCTTATGCTCAGTGTAGAATTCGTAGCATCGCTCTCTGAGTGTTTGCAGACAAACGGTGTAAATTTATCATTATAGACTTATTTGGACTAAAAAACGACTGAAGAAGTCCCATGCCAGAAATATAAGCTGAGGAGTGTTATTATGGTGGCCTAATAGTGATAGAACATATTTCTTTAGATTGGTGGTTATCAACAACTACATAATGTACCGTTTTTCAGTGATATTTGGTTAGAATGAGAGTTTTAACGAGACAATGATGTCCTCAGACAGACGAGGATAATTGGACTTGGGTAGATGGTAACTATAACCGGACCAAGTCTTATACTATCAATGGTAAGTAATAATAGTGGTGGTGTTAATACAGTGAAGATAAATTATATGTATAAGATAAAGATATAAATATTCCATTAAAAATAGAAGCCCTCTTTTGATAATAGGGCACAGTTCCAGTTTCACACAGCCATATGGTACTGAGCAAACTTAGCCTGTAACAGATATAACGATAGAAAGTAAGACAATTTGCACGGCGATGGGGTGGGGCCGGGGCTCGGAGCCCCCGATAGGAAAGCACGGTGACGGGAAGGGGGTGGCAAAGCCCGCGGGTCAGGAGGGGTCTGGGTTCACACGGCGATGTTGTGGATTCCCCAGGAGTGGCTGCACAAATGAACACTTCGTCCCAGAGGATGCGGTCACTTCGTAGACAATTGCCAATTCTTTCATTCATATCAATTGCGATGGAAAACAACAAATTCTCGTATATCATAATGTCAGCAACAAATAATTATTAATAACTGCAAGGTTGGATGGCTGTGTGAAACGAAAAAATGTAAGAGGAAAATTAAGTAGCAGTAGTTCCAGTAACCAACAATAATACAGACAATATTAATACTGAAATACATGTTAGCTGACGATGTGTTAATGATGATTAGAAAAGTAATACTAACAGCAGTAACAGCAATAACAAGAGCCGGCAGACATTTCATCTGCCGACAACGGCAGATGAAATGTAAACACAAAAAAATAGCATTAATAAAACTGCAAATAAGCCATACATTTCGGAGAATTTTTCCAATGCATACTAATGAGCGCTTATCATAATAACATCAACCCCCTGTCACGTGTGCCACAAAATGAGATCTTTATTTACATTGCCTTTGGCTCAGCTGAGGTCACGGTGACAGCGGTGATAAGGGAGTCGTGTTCATTTGCATTCTAAATGTCTTCAAGATCCTAGCGAGCTCGCAGGCAAAACACACACACACACACATACCCAAACTGCACACTGGACACACATGCTCACCGCACGCAAGCTCACGCATGTAAACCCATACATACGCATTTAGAGAGAAGGCAGCAAATCAATCCACACAAATAAAATCTAGCAGACAGAGAGTTTTCCGTTCATACAGGAAGGCAGACACACACATGGCCATGAGCTCAATGAAGACACGTGTCAGACAAATATTAGATTTTCCCTCTGGCCGCCTCACATGGTCACCACGTGGTCCGGAGGCAGTGTAAACACACGGCTGCAAGGCGTACTTCCCCTCCTTGCCTTCTGCGCCCTGCCGTCTACTCGGTTTTTATCATCCTTTTTTACCTCTCGATCCTCCTTTCTTTTTGCGATACCTGGTTTCAGCCGCTATGTGCAGTGTGTTTGTACGTATATATATATATATATATATATATATATATATATATATATATATATATATATATATATAATATATATATATAATATATATATATATTTAGTTATATATATCTATATATACATATAGATATGTAGAAATATGATATGTGTATGTCATGTACATAACACCCGGAGTGAGCCCGGCGCCCCAGCCCGGCCCGCGGACCGACGGCGCTCCGTGCATTTTGCAGAATAAAGGCCCAGAGTGACTCACGCCAGTCACCGAATACCACCAGCTAATGCCACGCGAGTCATACCGGTCATTCCACACATTGCGGTCTCTGCTCGCTATTATGAGGTAGCGAGTGGACACCCCCCTTTCCCCTTCCCCTCCCCCTCCCTTCATCCCTTTCCTCGTCGGGCACTAGGTCAAAGGTCACGTCCACTTCAGACTTCTTGGAGTTTCTTGCGAGGTAAGCGGGGGGGGGGGGGGGGGGGGGGAGGCTAAGATAACAGGTGGTTTTGAGCTCATGCCTTCGCGGTAGACGATGCACACACACACACACACACACACACACACACACACACACACACACACACACACACACACACACACTGTATATATTTTTACTCATATAACCAAAGCTCATAATTTTCGATTCACACGCGATATGTACATGATATAAACTGAACAATACAAAAAAATCCTTCCGAGTGAACTTGCGGTCATCATAAAATGCGAATAAATAAAATGCGCCGCGAATAGCAGACATTTTTGAAATGAGAGAAATAAGTGAACTAAATTAAGAGAATGAATATATGAATAAATGAAGATGAAGGCAAAGTCCACGAATACATATAAAACGGTTGAAAGAAAAAGCGGCGATAGGAGAAAGAAGGGAAACAGAGAGGGAACAAGAGGCACAAAGACGAAGATGGGAGAAACAAGAATGTGAGAAAGGGATGACGATAAACTGATAGATAATAATAAAAAAAACGAAAGCGTAAACAGAAGGAATACACGAGAATACGAGTAGAACGATAAAAGAGTAACAAGAAAATCCAACAATCAAACAGTAAACAATACCCTTAATAACAGTCAACGAGGAAATGTAGCAAAGAAAAAAATAAGCAGTAACCTGAAAAAGATTCAAACGCTCGAATCCGGTCAATTTAACGACAGTGAAGCATCGATCAGTCAAGAGAGATCGCAGCCTGACAAAAGGTTCCATTTCAGCTTCTGCCTCGTCTCACCAGGAATGCAAGGCCTTTAGCAGAGGGAGAGGCGGCTCGGGCGTGGATGCGATATCCGACTGGCCTGTGCAAGAGGTGAGTGAGTGTACTGTTGTTGAAGAGCGCGTGAATTGGAATAATCGTGGACAGGTATAAGTGCGTAAGATTCCTTCGCATGATAAACTGATATTTCCTATGGCATTTTAGAGCAGAGAAAAAGTGTTTAGATTCAAGGGCCAACGAAGTGCTTACGATTCTGTCCGTGTTGAGATCTCGGGCCTCAGCCGAGAGTCAGCACTTGCCACTCAGTACTGCCGAGGTCAGAATACCCGTCTTACGTCGCTACGCTTTTACTCCATGGCGCAAGTCCACTTACCTTCAGGTGGAAACCGGTTAGCGTAGCTTGAAGATACTCCACGGGCTTTCACAACCGTAATCCTGGTAAGATAGTTCAACCAAGTACAACTTTCACAACCAAACCCCGAAATGCGGAGAGTAAGGCTCTCGCCCCAGAGCATGCCTCTCCACGGCACTCCTCGG